CCATAAAGAACAACAAAAGTCATAAAAACTTAAATGGAGAACTAGAAAATTTTCGTAAAATTTTTAGAAATTTTTGATTTTGTTTCTGATAAAAAAAACGTTGTTTTTTAATATGTTTTAGTGATAAACTTTTTAGGTTGGCTATAAGACTAAACTAGCACTAGTAATAAAGGGGTCCAAAAACTCTTCAAATTCCAAAATTAGAAATTTTTGATTTCTGATTTTTTGGCAAACTTGTTTTAGTGTTTTTCTCAGTGACATTTTCAGGTTAGATAATAGTCACAAAAATACTCGAAAAACCTAATTGTAAAAATTAGAAATTTCAGATTTCTGGTTTAATCAAAATTTTAGAAATTTGTGATTTCTGATTTAAACAAAAATTTTCTTCTTACGTGCATATTTCTTAGTGAAATTGTAGACAATTATTGGTACTAGAAATACCATAAAAATGAAGAAATTTCTTCTGGTCAAAAATTTGGTTGCAAAATGCCCACCGAAGCATAACCCTCCTCCTTATTATCCAACACTCAACCGTGAAACTTTCTCACTTCTTCATTTATCACCCGGAAACCCATCGAGGTCACAAGTCAACTGTCACTCCAACCCATAATTACACCCATTATCACATTTCCAATGGTCAAAATTCTAAACAAAACGTAAAACTGGCTACTTTCACAACACCTCTTGCACAACTTCTTGTGAACTTTAAAACAATGCGATCGCTTGCGATGATTTAATCAGGTCAGAAGACCCATTGGGTCACTATTACCTTTCGGATTCGATGGTCGGGAGATGGGACAGAGACGTATCCATATATCGGTCACTTATGGGCACTTTTTTCACTTGATACCAGTTTTTCACCACACATTGTCACAAAAGTTGAGACGCGATGGTACTAATGGGTGAGAATGCAGTGCCGCACCTGTCGTTCTACCTACGAATGGGTAGCGGTGCTTCCTGACCCAGGTGACTGTCCAGGTAGATGGTGGAATGGTGATGGGCGGCGTGGAGGCGATGGGCGATGGTATGGACCCAGCAATGGGCCACTGCGTGCATGGTAGGCTACAGAACCGGCGCAAACTACCATTTTATAATTAAAAAATTAATTAAAACATTAATATTAAATTAATTCGTTCTAATTTATTTGTAAACTTTTCCAATTCTAATTAATTCCAGGGTTAAGTACAAAAATACCTAATTAACAATCTGGTACCTTTGAAATATACAGAAACTCACAATTTTGTACAATTAAAAGTAATTAAAATTTACAATTAAATTTTAATTCAAATTAGACTAATTCAAATTAAGTTGTCATTTACTTTGCACTGTCATTATTTAAATATT